TTTAAGTCATAGGTTGTACTGAAAATATTCTTTGATATCAGTAAATGATTATTCTTGTAAAATATCTGTAATCAATACATTTTTACGGCACGGTCGTATCAAAATGGTTTAGTAAACAAAAAATTGTTTAAAAACGAAAATAACTTTCTCAAAATTGGTACCACACAATTTTTTTTATTAACAATTATAAGTTCAGACCTAACCTAAAAGGAAAAAACATATGGTTCAAAGCTAAATAGATGCCAATATCTAGCTTCTCCCCATTTAAATCATTAGGTGTGACGGTATCTATCCAGTCCTACTTCATTCAAAGTTATAACGGAACATAGAAGTGCCGAAAGTGGCAGGTACGATGCATGTCTCCACAGACGACGGTTCTAAAACAAGACAAGGCTGAATATGTGGAAAATACATTCAATGAACTGTGAAAAGAAATACCAGAATCAATACCACTGGAAGGATTATATTTACAAATAATAGACAAGCTCGACTCATCCTGGACAGACCACGAATTTCCTCAAGGATAGTACTAGAATGCCATGAAGCCTTTTCCGAAGTATTCCATCTACAATATCATTAGCTTAAGATGGATCAAAGGTCACGCTTCATTGAAAGAAATCTGCCTTGCTGATTCACTAGCCAAGAAAGCAGCCAACCATATACTTTTTGGACCTGGCCCTTCTATTGAGACAACATCGGTAGTGACAAACCTAATTAAAGAACATTCCCTTGTAGAATTCAAGGAAAGTTGGGACAAAACAAGAAGCTGCCAGAAGCTTTTAAGGGATTTCTAACTACGGAAGCATCTCCATATCATGTGACTATCAGAATCCGCACTCTGCTGAGAGTGCAAACAAGAAAATGAGATCATCAACCTCTTAGCGACGTTTTAAACTGCTGGCTGGCTGAGAGGGGCCTATCAATTAAAGAGCATGCATAATGAGCCAAGTATTAACTCGTAGAATTATAATCAACAAGGAGAAGTCCAGGTCTTGTAACCGATCGAGAAACGTTGAAGCTGGCTTTCATCGGGAGTCCAGAAGAGATAGAATCGTTGGTGAACTTCAACGTAAAGATAAATGACTGTGGAAGTTAGTTCTGCGTTGAAGTTCCAATTTCATAAACATTAGACCACTGGAGCGTTAGAGAATAGTTTAAAAGTTGTAAAAAATCCAATAGACTGAGTTGGGGTCAATTCTTATATTCAAATTAATAATCGCGGATATACAGGGTGTCTGTAAAAGGTCTTTACAAAAACATCCCACATATTCCTTAGACCAAAATAAGTCAATTTAAGTAAAATTACCTTAGTACAAAGTTGCTTCTTTTGGGCTCCAGAGGGCCTTGAAGTTACAATTTTTAAATCGTTTTTCGCATATAAATTTAAAACGGCATATGCGATTTTGCTGAAATTTGGTATATTGGTAGAGTTTTATGTGGCAAAAAAAATGGTATTAAAATTTTGTCCGATAATAATACATAGGCGTAGAACTTGATTTTTTAAATAATTGCACCTTTAAAAATTCTACGCCAATGGAAGAAAAGGAGTTTGAGTATGAAATTTAGATTGCTCAACTCATTTACTTTAAAAAAGGTACTTTTGATAAGACTCGATTACTCTCATGGTTTTGACGAAATTTGCATTTTAGTAATTTTAGAACATAAACAATAATTATTAAAATACAAACTTTGTCAAAACCATGAGAGTAAATCGTGTTATCAAGGGTACTTTTTGTAGTAATTGAGTACCCAATCCAAATTTCATACTCAAACCCCTTTTTTGCCATTGGCGTAGAATTTTTAAAGGTGCAATTATTTAAAAAATCAAGTTCTACGCCTATGTATTATTATCGGACAAAATTTTATACGATGAAAAACATAAAAATGTACTTTTTTCAAAAATACTCGATTCTTGCCATGTACGTTTTTTTGAGGAATATTAATTATTTGCCTGCAATACGTATACAAAAACATTTATTGTTGGTTTCCATAGTTTCATCTAAATAAAAATATTGTCAAGTTTTAACACCTAATCTCTTGTTAACGATTGAAAGTGTTCTATCTGACTCAATAATTAAAAAAACAAATGCGTGGTTTATTAATATGGCTGTACAATATACCAATGCAGAATATACCGATATGTTACTGACATTAGGATTTTGTGAAGGAAATGCTCGAGAGAGTGTCAGGGTGTACTCTGAAAGGTTTCGAAATCGTCGTGTACCTAGCCACCCAACTTTTGCTGCTGTTGGGAGACGTCTTCGGGAGACCGGTTCCTTTGCTCCCAATACTGTTGATAATGGAAGAGAACGTTTTGTAAGGATTCCTGAAGTTGAAGAAGACATTTTAGAACGTGTTGAAGAAGATCCAGAATTAAGCATCAGACGAATTGGAAGGGAACTAGGAGTAAGTAAAGATGTCGTTCATAAAGTGCTTAGAGAACAATTGCTATATCCATACCATAAGAAGCCAGTACAAGAATTATTAGTCCATGATCCTCAAATTCGTTTGGGTTTTTGTCGATTTGTTAATATGCAAAGAGAAAGAGATCCAAACTTTGTCAAGAAGGTTCTCTTTACCGATGAAGCGGGTTTTACAAGAAGAGGTATAGCTAATACCCATAATGAACATGTTTATGCCGTTGAAAATCCGCATGCAATAAAGGTAAACCATTTTCAGCACGAATTCAAAATTAATGTGTGGGCTGGAATAATTGGTAATTTCATTATTGGTCCTGTCATACTTCCACGAAGATTAACTGGAGAAAATTATTTGGATTTTCTACAAAATACGTTGCCAGAATTGTTAGAAGATTTACCTCTCCAACTTCGGAGAGATATGTGGTTTATGCAAGATGGAGCTCCACCACATTTTTCTTTAAACGTTAGAAACCACTTGAATGAACAATATCCACACAAATGGATAGGCAGAGGTAATGACGCACCTGTAAACTGGCCACCACGTTCCCCAGACCTAACACCGATGGATTACTTTTTATGGGGACATCTGAAATACACAGTTTACAGGGAACCTGTAGAAAATGAGGAACAACTCTGGCAACGTATTCAAGATGCAATAAACAATCTTAGAGGTGATGAAGAAGTTATGGAAAGGATACATTTTAATTTTCTTCGACGTATAAATCTTTGTATGCGTGAAAAGGGTGAACATTTTGAACAATTTTTGTAAAATCTCTATTTTGATTATGTTGTAAATAAATATTTTTGTGAAACCTATACACTCTAAATTATTTAAACAGAAATTTAGCGAAAACCATGAGAGTAATCGAGTGTTATCAAGAGTACCTTTTTTAAAGTAAATGAGTTGCGCAATCTAAATTTCATACTCAAACTCCTTTTCTTCCATTGGCGTAGAATTTTTAAAGGTGCAATTATTTAAAAAATCAAGTTCTACGCCTATGTATTATTATCGGACAAAATTTTAATACCATTTTTTTTGCCACATAAAACTCTACCAATATACCAAATTTCAGCAAAATCGCATATGCCGTTTTAAATTTATATGGGAAAAACGATTTAAAAATTGTAACTTCAAGGCCCTCTGGAGCCCAAACGAAGCAACTTTGTACTAAGGTAATTTTACTTAAATCGACTTATTTTGGTCCAAGGAATATGTGGTATGTTTTTGTAAAGACCTTTTACAGACACCCTGTATAACGCTTCTCTGATTCTGGAATTTATTCCTGATTTCTTTCACTAATGGGTAATGTTAGCAGAAAATTGCGCCTTGAGGAGCACTTCATTTAGTTTAAGTTAATAATTTTTTAGTTACCAAGCTGTTATTTATATCAAATAATAAGAAATTAAATCAAGTTACTTATTGCAAAAATATTTTGTGACAAAACAATTGGGACATATGTTACACTATTTATAATAGTGTATATTTCTTGGGTAGACATCCGTTAATTACTTAACAACGTTGCCGCATATCAAACTCGAAACCTAATGATTTAAAATTTAAAGCTCACGTAAGCGAGTATTTTATTATGTAAATATCTATCAATTTTGGAAATAAAATAGTGAGGAGAATTCCCCATTAGTTTTTTACTATTAGGCATTCCAAATAAATGAAACGCGATGCTAAGGTTTGGTATGTCTAAAGGGTTGCGACATTCGATGTAATCAGTCTAGAATACATGAAATCATAATTAATGGATTAAAGGAGAATGGGCAGTTTTGCCCCACCTCCCAATAGGAGTAAGATATAATGCCAAATGAAAGATATCAATAAGGAGAACATTGCATATTTTTAATTCAAAATACCTTAATTTTATCACATTCTTCTGTATTGTAAAAAATAAAGGTTCTTTACTCTTGAATAAAATTCATATTTTTTGACAAATCTCATATACGACTTAAAAAAATGATATCTGATGGTTGCATTTTAAGTTTTGGATCATGTAGAATTTTTTATCATATATGAATTTTTTACAAAACCAATAATAAAAAAGTTTCCCATATGGTTCGAACTTAAGTAGAAACACTGTATGATAGTGCATGTGACAAAACACAGGTTTTTTTTTGTTAAAAACCCCCTTTGTTAACTCTGAAAGTTCTTTTGTTAGTGGGTGGCATGGTAACGACTAAACAAACACCCAAATCATATGGTGAGGAAACGCGTAGTTGCCAAGTTAAAGGTTAAGGACTATGTCGCACACCCTTAGATTTACGAGCCATTCCCACTGGCAGCTATTGTTTGACAGGTTATTGGAATATCTAATTTCTATTAATAAAAACTATTTTGAAGGTTAGGTTACCTAAATTAATAATCTCCCCGTTTCGGTTTCTATTTTTTTAATAACCAACCTAAACTACGTATATGCGTTACTTTATACAATAATTTATTCTAACACTGGAAACTGGAACTTATTTTGTTGTTACGGAAAAATGGTATAATACATTTTTTGAAAACAAATTTTTATCTAAAATTTTTACCTGTTTATTTTGTTGCTATCTATCTTTTTTCCTGTCTTATTATAGGAACAAAGACTCGTTCGATGACAATGAAATGGCAGATACTCAATCTGACGACGCCGATGTATTAATCGATAAACTGTTTCCTACAGAAAATTACCCTGATATTTGGTAGGTAGTACAAAAACAAAAGCTTGTTTGTGTTTTGAATTTGTTGTATTTGTTTTTAACATTTTTCACATCACGCTGATGCTGTTCAAAATGATTATACTTATATGCTACGGAAACGTATCGAATAACTATTTATTGTTATACAGGGTGTCGGAAAATTTCGTACGTATACCTGGTGAAGCGATTCTGCATTAATTAGACTGTGTGAATTCGTTTCATGTGGATATACAGGACAAATCAAAAAAGAATGGAACACAAAACTTACCGGAGATGCTGGCATTAACTGTCCGACTTCCAAATGTCCCGATAGCTGAATGATGGGAATTTTTTTCGCTTTGTGGGTGAAAGAATAGTATTCATGAGTTTGTATGGATAATTTTGAAAAATTAATTTATTTGAGGACTTCCAAATGAATTTAAATACATTTGTTATCGGATCAATAACAGATTTTTTTCTAAAAAAATAATTTTTCAAAATCGGTTGCAAAACTTGGAATTTTTAGAGTCAGAGTATATCAAGTTTGTGTCTGTGTACCATTATTTTTTAATCATCCTGTATATATCAAATTATACACCCGTATAAATATAATTGTAGCGATATTTCTATTACAATTTGTACAAACATTGCATTTTTTTCATACGTATCAATCCAGCAGTATGCCTTTTGATTTTGATTACACCATAATTTTAGGGTACTTTTATACCAACCTAAAAAATTGTCCGCTCCTTTTTTTATACAAAAAATTAGGTACTCTACTGGCTTAACAACAGTTACTTATTGCGTTTTTCATTAAAAAAATCAGCAATGTAAAAAAGTATTGCGGCATAATTTTAAGCTCATTTTAGGCTAATAGACCAGGGCCCTATTCTCGAATGTCTATTTCTAAATGTCACACGCGACATTGATGAAATGTCGAATAAGAACGCAAAAACGTATTCTGGAATGGCGAATTCGACATTTGTTGTTAGACATAAAGTCGAGTGGTATACAACCAGTCGACATTGTAATGTCGCATGCCTTTTTAAATATGATGTTATGAGTGTCGTGACAGTGACAGTTTATATTTATTTTTAAGAAAAATGAAAATAAGTATTGTACAAATTGTTTTTAAAAATATATGAAATGGTTATTTACAATTTCACCTAATTTATCAATTATTAGTCCTGTCCAGTGTCGGATTGGGCCGTTGGTCTACAGGCAAAAGACCGGTAGGCCTTCGTTCAAGCTGTGGGCCCTCTTTCAGGCAGTGGGCCCTCTTTCAGGCAGTGGGCCCTCGTTTGGGCAGTGGGTCCTCGTTCGGGCACTGTGCCTCAATCAGTGGGCCTAAGTTAGTAGACCTCAGTCTGTGTGCCCTTGAGAATAAGAAATGTGAAATAACCCTTGAAAAAAACATCAATATGCAAAGAAGGCCTTTTTTGCTTTTCAAGAAATCGGCCCATGAAAAAATATTGATAGGTGGGCCTTCTCCGTTCTGACCGGTAGGCACTGGAAGTCCCGATCCGACACTGCTCCTGTTTGTCCAAGAGATTTAAAACCTGTCATTAAGAAATTTATATAGCTCTATTTTTTCAAATTGCAGGTAAAAAGATTATATCACAGACATTTTATTTAATGTTTAGATTGTATTACAATAATATATTTCTACTTCTTTCTGTTTAATCTCTTATCAAATTGCACTTCCAATTTTCTATCTAATCCCTCATGAAATTTCAGTAAAAAAAATTATATTTATATTTTCTCTACTTTCTAATTAGTATTTACCAAAGAGATATATATTCTGGATGTATTTTTAGTATTATTTTGAATTACTTAGAGATTCTTCAAGTAATTGTCTGCTGTAATATACTCGTATGTTTCTATCAAATGTTGTCAGATGTTACCATTCGCCAAATATGTCACCGATTTTAAAATGTCTATTTGTGTTTGAGAATACGGATAGTGTCAGTCGATCGACATTTTGATAGACATTACTAGTAGACATTATGACGAATCCGACATTTTTAATAGACATTCGAGAATAGGTCGATAATTTTGAAAATGGTAAAAAGTGAAAAAAATTATAGTAAGATGAAACTCGTTAAAAAAGGACGAGAATATAACAAAAATGAAAGAAAAAATAATTTACGGGCGATCTGAGGTAGGGAAGTGGAAGGGGGTGAGTTTTTAAGGGTAAAAAACGGCAAAACTACAAGTCCTATGGAAAAAAATTAAATGACAAAGTTGTAGGTAATAAAGAGACCTACAACTTTTGTTATTACACTTTTTTCACATAACCTCAAAATTTATGTGAAAAATTCAAATAATCAAGTTTTTGGTTTTTTATTTTTATCTTATGTATTTTTTTTTTCACGAAATTTGGTGAAAACTTACCTTTTTATGTCCTAAAGACACTGTAATTTTTTTGATTTGAAATATTTATTTTTTCACCTTATTTTGACTTAATATCGAAAAAACACCCTAATTTTTAATCGAAAATTATCGCGTCAAAATATCAGCTTTTTAAAAAAAGTCGGGGAGTTTTTGTTCTTTGAAATCTCTTCTTTCTGATAATATAAAAAAAATATATACATTACTGTGGTAAATGTTCTCAGAAAATGCAAAGAAAAGAAAATACTCGAATCCGAATTTTTTTTTTAATCAATATGTACAATTTTGAGCTATTTAGTAAAATTTACACTTTTATTACTTGAAAAACGTAAGATTCTATGTTACATTGATAAACAAAAAAATACAAATCGAAACTTACTACCATAATTAACAACCAAATAAGTTAATATTTAATAAGACATCTACAATATTTTGAAAAAGTTGTAGAATATTCTTTAAATTATGTGCATAGATGCCTATTTATTGCTATTTTAAGATAACTTATATACCTGAGTTACCTAGTGATAATTTTATCTAACGAGAAAAACAAGGAGAAAATAATAACGTTAATGAAAAGATTACAGTCACAAGGATTTTCCTGTAAACAAGCAGAAGAAGATGCTGATGCAGACATTATTAAAACTTCGATAGAAATTGCCAGAGATACCAATAAAACTGTCATTGTTGTGGGTCAAGATATTGATCTTTTGGTCCTTTTGAATCAATTAACTTCAAATAATCATGACATTTATTTTCTCAAACTAGGTTCTGGAAATGTAAAAGATCTATTTTTCACGTCTAATAGTTTCAAATATGAATCCTTCAAAAATATCGTTGCATTTCTGCATTGTTTTTCTGGTTGCGACAAAACATCTGGATTTGCCGGAAAAGGAAAGAAGAGTCTTGTAAATTCATTATTAGACGATAAAAATGTGTCAAATTTGGCCAATATTTTTTATAAATAGATGCAAACAAAAATATATCGAAAAAAATGGATTACAATTATTCAAATCTATTTATAAATGTAAAAATGATAATATAACACTGAATCAATTAAGATTTCAAAAATATCAATTGGCAAAAATTAAATCATCTTTCATATTGGCAAATCACCCACCCACAGAAGGTGCAGCAGAACAACATTGTTACAGGGCATATTATCAACTTCAAACTTGGCTAGGTAACGAACTGACAGCAACAGATTGGGACTGGAAGCAACATCAACGTGGGATTATGCCCAAATTTACAGAGAAGGAGTTAATTCCGGAAATATTGCTCAAAACTATTTGTTGCAGCTGTGAAACGGGATGTAATAGTTTAAAATGTGGTTGCCGAAAACATGGCTTAAAATGCACAAATTTATGCTCAAATTGTAATGGTTCTGAAAAATGCACCAATGTGGAAGAAAAAACCTACGAGGGAGTTAGTGATTCAGATGAAATTGTGGATGAAGGACCAATTCAGACTAAAAGTAATATTGGATACGAAGACGGTGATGGTCTTGAAGATTTCGAAAATCTACTAGAATCGGGAAGGTTTGTCGAATCTAACGATGAAGAAATGCCACCGAAGAGACAAAAAGTAATGGATAAGTGATTAGGGTTCAAGATAAGATTTATAAATAAGAAGATTAATGCATTTTAAAATATTATTATGAATAATAATAATAATAATAATAATAATAATAATAATAATAATCAGTATAAAGTATCTAAATTCAATGGTACGATTTACATTTCTGTTCATATATTATGAGATTTTCTAAGACATAAATGTAAGTAGAATTTAATAAATAATTTTTTTGACTAAAAAAAATTACAGCAATCACATTTTTTAATTGAAATCCCCCCTTTAAATCCTATCTTTAATATTTAGAACAACTATTTTCGCATGTTTCTTGCAATTTTTATGATTTATGGATTTGTAATTTTTTTGTTTATCAATGTAACATAGAATCTGACGTTTTTCAAGTAAATAAAGTGTCAATTTTACTAAATAGCTCAAAATTGTACATAGTGATTCAAAAAAAAAATTCGGATTCGAGTTTTTTTCTTTTCTTTGCATTTTCTGAGAACATTTACCACAGTAATGTATATATCTTTTTTATATTATCAGAAAGAAGAGATTTCAAAGAACAAAAACTCCCCGACTTTTTTTAAAAAGCTGATATTTTGACGCGATAATTTTCGATTAAAAATTAGGGTGTTTTTTCGATATTAAGTCAAAATAAGGTGAAAAAATAAATATTTCAAATCAAAAAAATTACAGTGTCTTTAGGACATAAAAAGGTAAGTTTTCACCAAATTTTGAGAAAAAAAAATTTTTTTTTGCATAAGATAAAAATAAAAAACCAAAAACTTGATTATTTGAATTTTTCACATAAATTTTGAGGTTATGTGAAAAAAGTGTAATTACAAGGTGTCTTTATTACTTACAACTTTGTCATTTAATTTTTTTCCATAGGACTTGTAGTTTTACCCTTAAAAACTCACTCCTTTCCACTTCCCGACCTCAGATCGCCCGTAAATTATTTTTCCTTTCATTTTTGTTATATTCTCGTCCTTTTTTAACGAGTTTCATCCTACTCTTATTTTTTTTTTGTTTCAAAAATTATCGACCCTGGTCTATAATTT